ATTCATTGGTAAAAGAGTAGCCCAAGAGTTGGCGGTGGGTGGTGATGACTAGCTGCCTTCCCTCTAGTCTTACACTGCTAAATTAGGAACGGGTAGCGCAGATAGCCTTCGTGTAGCTTTGCACGAAATTCAAAAAACAAACAAACCACCAATAGGTGTGCAACACAACTCCTGTCATCACTAGCACTCTCTCTTCCATGCAGCCCATATTCACTTCTTGATTGACAGTCATACTGCTAGGATGGGTGTTTGCTCAAACTTTCCTAGTGATTGTTTTCATTGAATAGTTCCATCAGTTTTCTTGTTCAAGTTTGGAATATTATTCAGGCCTCATGTTTATTTTTGAGTTTCCACTGTTTTGAAATTGTTTTTGAAGCTTCAATTGTCCTTTATCCTGGTCAAATCCACTTGTTATGATCTTGCAATTCCATGTAGCAACTACCACTGCCACTGTGATTGGTACAGCTGATTATCCTGCCACTTCAATGGCATCAGAGTAAGCTTTATTGGCTCAGTCAGAAAGTAATGGCTATGGTTCAAAGAGAGTTGGTTAACTTTAATCAGTCTTCTGAGTCACCTGATGATTGTCCTGTCATACCATGTGTGGATATGCCTGAACATGAAGATGAGGATTTGGATAGCCTGTTTTCTCCTCCCGCCTATACCTCACAGTCATGTTTTGTTTCAGGGGAGGTACCCAATCCTTTTCCTCCCTTTGTTGACTTAATCAATCATATATGCTATATTTTATCCTTGTCTCCTGTTTCCTATGGTTCCTCAACTGCCCATCTCAGTGATGAGCTGGTAAGACAATATCTAGTGTTTCCTCCCTCACCAGATATTGAGGTTCATTCTAGTCAATTTGGGGACCAGTTGCATTCTGGAGTCAGTGTATAACATGATCCCCAAGTACTCTGGAAGACCATGCTCTGGCATATCATCGTTCTGTGTTTCCCTACTTAGACTTGCAGAGGTTAGAGTTGCTTGTCCTTTTGTAGGGTTCAGACCCCAATGCTTTAGTTTCCTTTTCCCAGCCCCAGTTTTCTCGATTTTGTCTTACTCTCTCCTCCCTTCATTGTTCCCTGTCTCCCCTACACCTGCTATCTGTGGCTTTTCATCACTCCCCTGAGAGTTTTTCGGCGGTGACTTGGAATCTCCTGTTTTCCGCTCTGACATGCCTCTTCTATTCTGCCCTTTCTTTTCAACCATTGCTTCTCTGTTGTTGAGACCTTTTGGGTAATGACAACCTTTTACCTGGGTTGCGTTTGCCTCCCTCCTAATTATGTGATTTGCACATGGCTCCTTCTCTGCACCAGGAGGATTTTTTGGGCATTCCTGACTTTTTGGAAACTGGAATGGAGTCGGCATGATTGCATACCTCCCTTTCCTCCTTGGCTTCCTGTTTATCTCAACCCTGTCCTGAATCTATTTCTGTGTCTCACCTTTCTCATTCCTTTCCCTTACTGGTTCCAGCCTCTCCTATTCGTAAGGTTCACCTTTGGTTCTTGGGGCATCATCCTAGGGGCAACCAGTGATCTTGGTAACTATGTTGTGGGTTCGGGTTCTGTTGGGACCAGGGTCCTCTGCTTTGCCCATACATGGAGGCTCTTCACCACTGACCCTTGGGTTCTGAGGATTGTCTCGGAGAGTCTGATCCTCCATTTTGATTCTCCTCCTCTGTTGTCCCAGCATGCAGTTTCCTTACTTCATTTCTTGGAATTCCGTTTCCAGCCTGCAGCGTATGGAGGCAGTTTGGGACTTGTATTGCAAGGGTGCCATTATACAGGAGGATTCCTCTTGTCCAGGTTTTTATTTATGTTTTTGTTTGTTCTCCCCAAAAGACTGGAAACTGGCACCCTGTCATCTTTTGGCTCTGAACTGCTTCTTTGTCCTACCTTGTTTCACTTTGATGGGCATTCACTCCTGGTCTATGGATGACAAAGGTCAATGTTTTGGATTTGTACCTTCACATTTCCATCTCCCCAGCATCCGGACATTATCTTCCTTTCATCCCTCTGGGTTATGTTTTTCAGTTTGGGCTATTTTGTTCAGGCTTGCCTTGGCTCTCCATGTTTTTTGTCAGGTGATCATGGCATTTTCCCATTTTCTTCATTTTAGAGTATTGTTCCCACCATTACTTGGATGACTGGCTACCGCCTTTCATACTTAATTTATACTACAAGAAGCTGCTCGGGTTGGTTGATTGGTGAAGAAGTCTATCCTCACCCTCATTCAATACATCATTCATCTTGGGGGTATTGTTCTATTCCCTACTTAGTCAGGTCCAACCTTCTCCCACTTCATTTGTGGCTATGGATCTACTAGTTCTCAACCTATCCTTCTATTTCTTTTTGGGGTGTGGGCTTCTCTTGGATGCCCCTCTCCTCCTTCCTTACAGACAAATTTCACCTGGGTGTTTTTCTTCCTCACAACGTGAATGTGGTTGTGTTTACATTGGTCAAACTAGAAGAAATTTATAATTTAGATAAATGAACACAAGAGAAATGTTAAAAATAAAAGTGAAAACTCTGCAATAGCTGAACATGCAAATTATACTTGTCATGTTATCCAGTGGGGAAAACACTGTTATTTTGGCTCAACCCAATAATATAATGGCTAGAAATATTAGAGAAACAATAAAAATAATGAAGCACAGTAAAATTAGTTTTATCTTAAATAAGGATGAAGGGTTAAAAAATCAGAAAGTAAGTAGATGGCATGATCTTTTAAATATTTAAACTAGTATTCACATAACCATGCCTTTTTTGTATTTATATGTTGCCCAGCATTTCTTTTTCATACTCCTGAGGATGATATGAACGAAGTCAAAACATGTAGTGCATTTTTTATGATTGTTGATCAGTTTTTAAATAAAAATCTTAATTGAGTATTTTAATACACTCTTCTTTACTTTCACTCAAAAATTCAAGTTACAAAACAACTTAAAGAACTATCTGACATTTAATGTCCATAAAAACCACTCATAAGCTCTTTCAACCCAGATAATAACTTCTTTGATCTGCATTTATCAGTATCATTTGTTTGAACATGTACTCACAGTATACTACAAAAATAAAATATTTAACCTATCTACAGACACCTTTGAGTTTTACATGTATTTCTAAACTTTTGAGTTTATGTTTGTGTGTATTCAACAATATATACTAATTTTTATGTATTTTTTCAGCTTTCGCTGTGTCTCATATAATATCTTAGCAGATTTATATGCAGATTCAGAATATTCTCGAACTGTTCTATTTCCCTACTGCCCACCTTATGCTTTGGCCTTGGACTACAGAAAACAGCTTTTGCTGAAAGAGATCCTTGGTAAGTTTGTCGTGTCTTTGTAACCTTGAATTAAGATTAATCTAACTATAGAGATCAATAGGCTTACATCAGGTCCTACGAGGATGCGTAGGTGTATGTTAACTTTTGTCTTTTTAATTATTCATTGCAAAAATTACATCTATTTCTTGATAGCTAATTGTTTTTTTTATGTGTAATTGTAACTGAATTACTTTTATATTGTTATTTAACCATTTTTATATCTTTATTGAGATTAAGACAAACACCTTAAAAATTTACTTTCACTAAGTTATTCTTACATGTTAGTTCGATTATTCACAACTGATGTTTACATTTATAACAAGGTAAAATATGCACAGTTAAAATAAGATCATATAAAATGATTGTATCTCTAAATTAGGAGTTCAAAAATAAAACACATTTTCCTATTACAAAACTATCGCTGAGCCAAATAGTGAGAAGCAGGTAATGGAAGTGACTGAGAGACAGTTTAACAGTCCCAAATATTATGAAGATTTGGCATTGATATTTAAAAACTTTGGAAGTTACCGTTAAAAAAATTTATCATACAAAAAACAATAATACATATAACTACATAGATATGATAGCACAAATCTAAAACAAAGGGGAATTTAGTGACTTATCTTGGTCCACAAAGGACCATATTCTGCTTAAGAACAGTTCTGGATCTGTGGTTTCTCAGTGTTTAATTTGCTTTCCATTTTTATCTATTATAGGTTACAATGGTGATGTTATATGCTTACAGGAAGTGGATAGCAAAGTGTTTCATTCTGATCTTTATCCTCTACTAAAAATAGCTGGGTTAGAGGGTGTTTTTAGTGAGAAGGGTGGGCAGGTAGTGGAAGGGCTGGCTTGTTTCTTCAGGACTTCAAAATTTAAGTAAGTTTTTATTTAAGAACATTCAGAAGTGTATTTCTTCAGCTTGCTCAAACTTAAGTGTGTTAAAATTAGATTTTTAGTTGATTACTTACAGATTTGTTATTATGGGTTTTCACATTTTAAGTATGTTTTGGTAGATACTTATCATGCTGTATAAATGAACTGCTTCATTCACCTGATTAAACTGATCATATTGATCTTTTTCACTTGATACAAAAAACCCAGAAACTTTCTCAAATTTCAATTTTCAAAAACACCATAGTGTTGATTTGGCTGTATGGTTTAAGTTGAAGCTAACAAACCTAGATTTCACAGAAAGTTTACTGATTCCTAATGTGTGAGGTCTTTTAAAAACTGAACCATTTTTCATATATATTTGTTTTAGTATTGCTTGAAAAGATATGCATATTGGAACAGCCAAGTGGTTATGTGTACTTTTCAATGCACTTGTATTTGAGAAATGTACTGAATTGTGTGATAATATTTTACGTTTTCTATGTTTGAACATATATAGGTTGAAAGACTCAAAAAGAGTTGTGTTAAGTGAAATACTGAATTCTGACCCAGTATTTAGTGATATTCACACCAAGATCTATGAGAACCAAACCTTAGCTGAGAAAATCATAGCAAGAACAACTACATTACAGGTAAGAATTCTTAAGAAGCGTACACTAATAGATCTTATCAAACAGGGATAATAACATTGCAGGAAAAGATCTCTAAGAACTAGCTACTAGTAGGTGAAATTATAGCAATAATAACATTACAGATAAGGATTATTCAGAAAAAGAGCCTAACAGATAAAATTGTAGTAGTAATAAGAACTGGACACGTAGATAAAATCGTAGAAAGAATGACACTATTCATTATTTAACTATTATTAAAAGATAAAGTAATGTCAGTTTATTAATTAATGTCACAGGTTTTTACCTTGCTTAGATTTTATGTATTTTATCTTGCATGGTGTTTGAAACACTACATGGCAAGATAGTTGCAATTCACCTAGAAGATAGCAAGATGAAATTATGGATGAGATTATTTTGCTGTGTGTATCTTTAGGTTGTGCTTCTGGAGAGCCAAGAAGTTTTGGGAAAATTTCTGTTGATTGCTAATACACATCTCTACTTTCGTCCTGATGCTGACAACGTTCGTCTTTTACAGACAATAACATGTGTGCGTTACATAGAAAATATTCTGAAACAAACCAAGGAAAAGGTGTGTTTAAGGCCCATCTCGTCATTAACACTTCTACTGTATTGTGCTTTTTTTAAAGTATAGTAGGTTTTTTGGGGGGGGATATTTTACTTTTTCATACTTTTTTGTATAATGTCTACATGTTAGAGTGATTTTGTGGTACATACATTAATATTAGGTATATTTGAAATAATACAGTTAATGATGCATTATTAGTAAAAAAATAATCTAGTGTGTATACAGGAATGGATGCAGATGAGGCATTTACATGTATTTAGCTTTTCCTATTTAAAGATGCATGAGCACAGTTCTAAACCAATTTCATAGTTGAATGTACTATAAGCTGAGACAATTCTGACATTTTCCTTTACCTTATTTTTGTATTTAATTTTTTTTTTTTTTTTTTTTACTATTTTGGCTTTGTTTTTTGAAGTACAGTGGTAACACTACATAATCTATTAAACTCAATCCTTTTAATCGTAGATTTAAAAAATTAAAGTCATCTATCATTGTAATAAGCTCAGAATCTCAGATTCATTTTTTGCAAATGATCTTCACAAATTTTAGTACCAGTTTTGAACAAGAACTAGAATTTTTACCTATGTGAGAAATCTTATTACATTTTGTGATAAACATAGGTGATTTAGAATTGATACTAATACATTATAAACTATAAAGCAAATTACACATTGCATTTTCAATTTATTGATTTATTTCAGATTAATTAATTTAAAAAACATGTTTATATCTTTAAAAAAAATAATAATTACTAGGATAAATATTTACATTCAACACTACCCAGTTGCAAACAACAATATATACCAGTTTTTTAAAACACACAATCTACTACTGGATGGTGTCCATAAAAACATAACCCAACCCAATAATATACACAGTACCAATGGTTGAAAAAAATTAACAAAATAAAGTGCTTCATTTTTAATGAGAAAATGGTTGTGTATGTCTGTAATTACTTTGACTGTGGTGAAGAAAATTAAATAATTCATCCTATAGTTTTCTAATGAAATTAATTATCAGTGCTAGATTTTTTTTAGATTACTGATAAAATATTCAGAGTTATATATTGTGCTGTCTCCTTAATTAATTGCTGCTTAAGGCTATAAATTAATGAAACTTTTTATATTGAGTATTTTTGTAATAAAAATTAACATTATTTGTGTCCCAGAAATAATGAAAATTCAAAAAGTTTAAAGCTTAGAAGTCTTAGTTGTCAAAGATAAAAATGAAATAACATTTATTAAGTTAGGTTTGAATAGGAGATCCATTTCCTCATTACATGAGGTTTTTTGTTAAATATATATGATTGTATGTATTTACTTATTTTTGCACATAATCCCCCACTTTCATTTTGTCATGATAGTTTTTATTAATTTATAATTTTCTAGCAGTTGTAATTATATTGTTGTAATTCAGAGTTTGTGTCTTTTACAAAAAGTTTTTCATTTCAATTTTGCCATCTTTAGTTTATCTGCATATAATACGTTCACACTCTCATGTGATTTTAATATATTTTTTCACTGGTCAGAGAAATTGTAATTGGATCAAATCAATGAAATGAGAAACATAACATTTCTTTGACAAATATAATAACAAGCATGAAACTACATAACATAATACAAAAGAAATTAAAGGAAACTTGTGCCGTTTAAGATCATCTGTTTATTTGTTATGTAGGATCCCAACTGTGAGATTGCAGTAGTTTTTTGTGGAGATTTTAACAGTTGTCCAGAGTTTGGTGTGTATGAGTTTTTAACCACTGGAAGTATTTCTCAAGATTCACCAGACTGGAAAAGTGGTAATTTGAAACATTCTGTAATTCATAACACCTAAAGGTGTTATTAACTCAATCAGTCTTCCATCACTTTAGGGTGACAAAGAAATTAAACCTTTTTTTTTTTAATCTACATTAGCTTGCCTTGGGAAAACCTGTTACGAAAGCAAGGTTATTAGTAGACACCTTTTCTTCATGTAAACTCTTGTTAATAAGTTTACAACCTTCATTAATTTTATTTCCTACCTTGTTCTCAGGCTGTAGCACCTCATTTAATTATATTTACTAGCTTGTTGTAACACCCTGATTAACTTTATTTACTTGCTTTTTCTTAGACTTTAGCACCTTGATTGCATTTAGTAACTTGTTTTATACTATCTTGATTAATTGTATTTTGTAGCTTGTTCTCAGGCCTTATGTAGCACCTTCATTAATTATATTTACTAGCTTGTTGTAACACCCTGATTAACTTTATTTACCTGCTTTTTCTTAGACTTTAGCACCTTGATTGTATTTAGTAACTTGTTTTATACTATCTTGATTAATTGTATTTTGTATCTTGTTCTCAAGCCTAATGTAGCACCTTCATTAATTATATTTACTAGTTTTTCTTTCAGATTTTAGCAACTTGTTCTCATCCAGTATCTTCAGTAAGTGTACCTTGTTCTCAGGATCTCCATAGTATCTTGATTAATTGTATTTAGTTGTTGGTTTTAAGGCCTTGTATAGTATCTTGGATAATTAATTTTAGTTGTTGGCTCTCATGTCATGTACGTTATCTAAATTATTGTATTTAATTATTGGCTCTCAAGCTTCAATAATACCCTGTACTTATTAGTGGGCTTAGCTTCTTGTATACTACATTAATTAATTTTGGTTAATAAATGGTACTAAGCCTTGCATAGTATCTTGATCAATCACATTTTTATCTAATTTTTATTTCTCAGTGTTTTGATTAATTTTATTTAGTAATTAGCTCTCAGACCTCATATTATATTCTGTGTAATCATATTTGGTAGTTAGTTTCCAAACCTGGTTTATTATCTTGATTAATAATTTTTACTTCGTTGGTTCCCAGATTTTTGGTACTGATCAATTGTATTTAGTATTAGTTCTCATATCATAAGTTCTTTAATTAGATCTAGCTTCTGGTTTTCAGATGTTGTATAGTATGTTGATTAATTATATTTAACTGTTGATTCTTAGAGTTTGTGTGTTAATTTTGAATTATTATATTGTTACGCCTCCGGTCATTAGCTAATTTTCCATAAAAATTCTTTCCGAAGAAACTTTAGCGATACAAGTCCTTTCTTAAATAAAACTGGTTTATTCTTTCTGGATACAACTTTGCAATACACTTAATTTCGACAGTCACGCTATAACAAATGCTATAATTCACAATGAACGTCTCACATGCTCAACTCATCTGTTCGTATCTATCTCTGTCTGCAGTTCAATTACACATTGTTGCCGTCACTTCTTGGCGGCTTATATACAAGAATACCGCATATCTAGTAACCTCTCGAGACTTCAGGAAGGGACAGGATTTTTCTAGAAGTTCATGATGTGTTACTAGCGTCACGTGACTTCCACTGTCGTAACAATATTTAATACTTTTTTCCTATTCCTTGCATAGTAATTAGTTGTATTTGTTTATTGTCAAGCCTTATTAAGTATTTTGATCAAAATATAAATAGGGCAACATTGTGCAATAAACTTTATTTAAAAATATAGACAAAACAAAGTTTACATTACACAGTAAAATAAAAAATAAAATAAAAATGGCTACTTGTATTGGTAGCTTACACTATCATCATCAGGAGTAAAAATCTACTCCATATGTGCAGTATTCATGTCACCCTGGTGAATTACAGTGAGTCCAACTATTCTCGTATAAAAACCTGCTGTTCGCGTAGATTTGTACTCCTGATGATGGTAGCGGAAACTACCAAAACATGTATAGCCATTTTTAATTTTTTTTATTTTATTGTGTAATGTAAACATTATTTTGCCTATATTTTCAAATAAGAATTTTGATCAGTTCTATTTTCTTTACTGAATAAAAAATACCACTTTGTTTTGTTGTGTTCATATTTAAATAAGATTTTTGGTAATGAAGAAAAATAACATTTAATCAGTTGTTATTAAAATAAGTCAAATTCAGATGTATTGACCAGTTCTTCTTGATTTGTCCAAAGTATGTTACTCACTTGATATTTTTTCTAAGCCATGTAACATATATGTAGAAGTGACATAGTTGTATTTGTTCTTGTTAAAATTTGAATATGTTTTGATATCATCAAATTAATTTTTGGGAGGATTCTGTAAAATGTTTGATAGATATGTTTTTATACATCAAGTAAGTATTTTATTTATGCTTTTGATAACCATATTGGGTGTAGAGAAAAAGTTCACAGCAGTTATAAAAGCACTCTTCTAATAACTTAGATTAAATTGTAATATCATTGATAAAGAAGTTTTTCATTTGCTATATTCAGGCTATTAAGTGTTTATTAATGTGATATTATTATTTTTGTATAAACCTTTTCATTGCCATTAAATACTATGTTATTTAACCTGAATGTATTTTGCTGTTTGTTTTTATTTCAGTACCAGAAGAAGCTGTGGAAGGAGTTAAAACAAGCCATTCCTTGAAGCTAGACAGCAGTTGTGGCTCTCCACCATACACCAACTACACGTCAGGATTCTATGGCTGTTTAGACTACATATTTTATGACACAGATTTGCTTAAGGTGTCCAGCATTGTTCCTCTTCCTGATCATGCTGATGTAACACAGCATGTTGCACTTCCTAGTATTACTTTTCCATCAGATCACTTAGCATTAATCTGTACATTACAGTGGCTTCAAGGTTAGATGCAGTAATGTGAAATGTAATTTGTATAAAAGCAAAATAAAGAATGCTTGTCTTATGTGCTTGATTTATTTTGATGTAATTGTGACATTTAGGTGGTAAAAACTCTTATACAAATATTTTTAAAATTTAGTTGCAAACATTATTTGTTAGAAAGAAATGAGAAGAACCATTAGGTATTGTCCTAAAAATTCTTACAATTAGTGATTTTAATTTATGTGGAAATACTTCCTTTAATAGCACATTGATGACAGATCTTTTTAATTAAGCTTTGGCTACTACCTTTAATATTCACTAGCCTCCTATTTTTTAAAGGTGAAATGCTCTTGTAAAATCATTGAACTAGTGATTTTTCTTGAGTTGTAATGGTTTAGACATAAGTGGGAGTACTAACATTTTACATTGGAATATAAGATTTAAGTTTATGCTCAAACTTGGGTCTATGTAAAGTTAGCCTAAAGGTCCAAGTGTTATATTCTTAATTAATGTTCCATCAACAAATAAATTTGCTTGACTTTGGCAAACTTGTTTACAATATTCATTCCTTATCCTTCTTGCTATGAGTAGGTCGAAGTACTCATGTTACAACCTTGTACAGAGTTACATTCAAAATTTAATTAAACTATTTTATTATCAATTTATATGAATAAACTTGACATCAAAATGTTGTTAATAAATCAAATTTTAATATTATGCAAGTTTTAATTTCTTTATCTTAAAAGGAAATACTTAAATAAATCTTCAATCTCCATTGTATGAGAATTGTGACATTTGTTCTCTAGGTCTTGCACATTCTCTCTGAAGTACAGAGTTTAAAATAAATCACTCATTACAATATAGATATTGCTAAGGCAAAGTCTAATTTTTATAGCCTTCAATATTCTTTGTATGTGGAGACCTAAACTACAAAGTCAGACCCACTTGCCATGCCCACCTGTTACATAGTGTCTTTCACAAATTGCCAATAATTCTCACTGACGTTTTATATTACATCATTTATAACCAATAGAAAGACAGTTTTAATCTTTCAAATGGCTTGTAATGTTACATTGTTTTCATTAAAGAGTATTTTCTATTTCATCTTCACTTTTGAATTTTCTCTTATTGTGTTCAGACTGAAAAACTAGGAAAATCATATTAAGGCTCTTTTGCCTTTGTTAGAAAGCCACTTTAAATTATGGTAGTGATAGGACATTGTTTGCCTTGTGTGTGTATTATTATTATTCTGTGTTTTAGGTGTATTCTTTAAATAAAAATTATTTAATGTAGTACTATGTTGAACATAAGTATTGTATTTCTTGTTTCTTATATATATTTTTTATTTATTGTTATAAAAGTACCTAAAATGTAAAAATTAGAAACTTATGAGGTTAGATAAGGTAAAATAATGAAAAAATTTCTCCATGAGGTGTAGTAGCAAATATCTCGTGTGTTATGTCATTCAATAAAGGTAACTTGAGCTACGCATTTGCTGCATGATTTACAACCTTTTTCACAGGATTATTACTTAGACATGGTTCAAAGGGTACTAAGCAAATAAATTTAAGTAGAAACAGGTGTAAAATGTTATGAGTCTTAAGCTATTTAGGATAAATAACTGTAGTTTCCCATTACAATTTGCAGTCATTCTAGAAATTAAAAAAGGTAATTTAGGTTTATATCATATATTTTATGGTGGTTACAAGGTATTAAAGTTGATCAACTTCATATGAAGTTACAGAATAGAAAATAACAGGTAAAATATATATAAAGTTTAACTGAAAATAAAATGTTTGATGTTTATTTAGGAGGTTTTAGAGATTACACAAATATAATTCGAAAATTTTCAGAATACAAAACTTATTTTTAATCTTACATTAAAATTGTTTTGCACTCAGAGCAATGAACATTGATTCCATTTATTAATGGATAAATCTTTAGTAAAAATACATAATTATTAAATTTGATTATTAGTGTACAAAACACTTGTAATGTTTACTGAAAGCTAGCCAAGTTTCTTGAAAATATACTTACCATATCAAAAGTTATAGTATGGATACTTTGTAGTTACAAGGTCAGTGTAATCCACAGAATTTCGTATGGAAAAAGTTAATGGCAACATTTTTGTACTCTTATTTGTAAAGCACACATAGATCAGTAAACAGTATGAGTAATGAGAAGGACAGTGTGCAGAAACACTTTATATAGAGATCAGTATGACCAATGAGGATGGTGTGCACAACTCCACTTTATATAAAGATCAGTATGACCAATGAGGATGGTGTGCACAACTCCACTTTATATAAAGATCAGTATGACCGATGAGGGTGGTGTGCACAACTCCACTTTATATAAAGATCAGTATGACCGATGAGGGTGGTGTGCACAACTCCACTTTATATAGAGATCAGTATGACCAATGAGGATGGAGTGCACAACTCCACTTTATATAAAGATCAGTATGACCAATGAGGATGGTGTGCACAACTCCACTTTATATAAAGATCAGTATGACCGGTGAGGATGGTGTGCACAACTCCACTTTATATAAAGATCAGTATGACCGGTGAGGATGGTGTGCACAACTCCACTTTATATAAAGATCAGTATGACTGATGAGGATGGTGTGCACAACTTCACTTTACATAAAGATCAGTATGACCAATGAGGATGGTGTGCACAACTCCACTTTATATAAAGATCAGTATGAGTGACAGTGTACACAACTCCACTTTATACAGAAGTAAGTATAAGTGATGAGAAAGACTTATAAGAGAATATTAAGAGGAAGGCCACTAGGATGATTCTGGGGATGGAAGGGTTATCTTGTTTAGATGGCTTAAGATTTCTTAACTTTTCACTTGAGAAAGGAAGGATAAGAAGTGTCATTATTGAAGCTTAGAAGATAACCTAGGGGATCAATAGGACAAACACTTCTGGTTTCTTTGTGCTGTATTCTGAAGATAACTGAATGAGAAGACACAAGTATAAGTTTCATTTTTCTACCAAGATGATTGGCTTATGTAACTAAAAATAAAAGATGTACTTCAATTTCTACATTTCTCTGATGTAGGTGTGCAAGGACAGCTTTGAAAGATGAAATGGTTCCAACTGTTTATATTATGTTTAATGTACCCTATATGTATTGTATATATTATCAAATATACAAATGAAATTAAATTTTGTGACAAAACTGTTTATCAATTCTGGTATAATTATATGTTTTGTTTTCTGAAACTGTGATATTCAGTCTATCTAGAGTTAATTGTTTCATGCTACTGTAGCACTATAAATTGACCACATTTGATTAATATCCATTAGTTTTTCAGATGATTGAATCACATACATAAGAATATACAAAAATAAGATACACCTACATCTATCCTATGACTAATGACAAAGATTGTTTCAAAAGAAAATGATGTTGACAAATATTGCTGTTTTTACAGTTTATATAATTTTAAAAAATAATTTATAGTTCTATTATAGATTATTTATATTCCATTTCATTCTTTTCTATTTTGTGTAGTTTGCCCCCCAGTAGCACAGCGGTATGTCTGCGGACTTACAACGCTAGAATCCGGGTTTCGATACCCGTGGTGGGCAGAGCACAGATAGCCCATTGTGTAGCTTTGTGCTTAATTACAAAATAATAATAATAATAATTGTGTAGTTTACATGGTATCTAATAAAATTTTGGGTAGATACTACAACACCGTGATTACCATTCACAGAGTTAAAGCCAAGCATTTTTATGACCAGATACAAAATATGACCATTCAATTGGATAATAACATATTTACTTGAGCATAACATATATTCTATCTGTGAATTTGAAATATTGAGTTTTCTCATAATTAACGAGTTTGTTCCAATGGTGTGTATACATTACACTAAACACAGCACAGTTATGCCTACAATACCTGCTTCATTTATATAATAAATATTTTTATCATGTAAAGTAGAAAATATATAGATATATATGTAGGCAGA